CTTCTAAAATATTACTAATTAATTAATGTTTTTGTAAATTAAGGGATACCGATTGAATTCATATATTTTGTATAAATTGGGTTCCAATAACAATTTGTAGCAAAGTTTTTTTTCGAAGAGAACACCTTTTAGCTATTTTTGGAAAATATATCGGTCATTAGGATATGTACGTACAGCAGAATTAGTCACGTGCGATCTAAATATATCTAACATGATAATGAAAAAGACCAATTTCGACAGACCAATTTAACATCCCTAGTGGCGGATTATGCGATTTCATATTTATAGTAAAAATCGCAAATTATGCCGGATCATAACCCTGGACACCCTATCCTAGATTAGGGTTAGTTTATAGTTATGGTAAGAGTATAGTTTAGGCCAATCTATTTAATTCTGGTAAACAAATTACGTCATGAAATGTTTATCATGCGATCTGGTTAACTGTTCTTCAAGTGTCCCCCTATTGAAATATTAATAAATCAGTTAACTGATAGAGATTGTTAAATTTTAAATTATAAAAATAAGGCTGTTTATTGCTTATCTAAATTGTCATCATCTTCGTCTTTATTGATATTCGTTTTAAATATTATAAGCTTACCAAAATTATGTTTTCCATATTTGCATCATTCTGTTCGTTAAAACTTACAGGGAACGAAAAATATGTGTTCAGAAGCAGTTAAGAAATCTTTAGAGAAATCATCTATCAAAGGTTGCTGGATCTTCCGAAACATTAATTCATATCTTAATGTAATCACATGATTTTTCAATTTATTAATCCCATGACCATTACTCATAGCAACTGCATCCATTCGATGCGACCCTTTTTTTGTATATCGAACGTGACAGACATTACTAATGTTCGCCCTGTCCTACTTTAGCCCACATAAAAAGCAGTGTAATTACAACTTTGAAATCTGAGAACTAACCACCTGTTAAACTGTGTAAATGAGAGGCTATTTCACGATCCATTTTTTGACATTCACTTTACTAATATATATATGTATTTGGGTGAGTAAAATTCTAAAATGTGCCCGAGTCGTTAAAGAATTCCAATTTAACTTACTGTATTATATAATTAAGGTATTCCAAATTATTTCATCGAATATGTTGTGTTAGAATTTAAGTCGCTTTAAGACAAGGTTTATTCATAACACAACACATTACAAATTAATTAAATTTAAAAGCATTACATGAAGTTTTTACCTAAATACATTTACAATGATTTTTTGTCACGCGTTTTTGCAATTGCATTTAATATTATCTACATGTAATTGTGAAGAATATTGCATAATAGGCATTATACGTAATTCTAATAATACTAGATTGCACCCAAGTCTATATTATACGTGTCATCCTTCA